CTTACCCTCTGAGTATCACTGCTCTTCTTATTGATCCTGAGGGGTTTATCTCTTCTGGATTCCCTGTGTTGTGAGCTCTTATCTGTACCAGTATACATGTTCTGGGGAAATGCAATCAGGGTTTTGCCTGGTTTTCTCAAATAACTAAGAAAAGGTGGTGGTAGGGGATTTGATCTTGCCAAGTACCAATCAGATTGGTAACTTTGCTCCCTACAACTATACTATACCAGGAATGGAATGGGTGACTCTTAATTTTATGACTTTGTTGTGTCCCTAGAAGTGTTTGAGGGCTTGTACCTATTTATCTTGCTTGCCTCAATGCTCTGTATAGTTCCTGACATAGAGTCAGTAGATCACCAATATTTTTTGAATGGTGACCTAGGGTTAAAAAGAATTTGCTATTCATAGAACATAATTTTTACAAAGTGTGAAACGGGTAAATTGTACTTTTTTGTGTCTGTGTGTTGTCCTGATTCACTGTTTTGTTTTCTTTTTAATCATTTTATTGGGGGCTCATACAATTTAAATTGTACTATTACTAGAAAATATAAATCAGTACTTTGGTTATGTTAAGTGCAGATCTCTGTGTATTTATAAAAACCATTTTATTGACACATAATTCACATCTCATACAGTTCCATAATTCAATCATGTTAGAACTGTGTATATTTTGGAAAGTAGTGAAGAATAAGATTATAGTATTTGTCTTAAAATCAACCAAAACAAATTAAAGTAACATTTACACTATATGAACTAATAACAACAAAGAAAGAAAAAAATCATAGATTTAAAATACAACAGAGACAACCATCACTGTCCCTATCTGATTCTTTATCAGCACAGGTTACCAAAAAGTAGCACTTTTTATTTGCATCTGAACTTTTTAGATCCTAAGATCATTTGTTATTCAATGCATATTTTTACCTCTTTTTTCTGCATAGTAATGATTTCTGGTAAATTGTGTGGTGTGGGGGAGGGATGGAGGATAAGAAACAGCATACAGATGCTCTGTCCTCCTACATTTACATAGGAAATAACTCTTTCTGGGTATTATCATTGCCAGTTATTAGACATTATTGAATATAGTCTCATTGAAATACTTAATAAGAATATAATGGACAGTTTGTTTTAAAGTACACTAAAGAAAGATAGCAGACAGTGTCTCATGAGAAGTGACATTCTGTAATTACCTCCTCCTATCAAAAGAAAAACAATTCCTAGAAATTAATGACTACAGCAAGAGTCTATTTCCTATCTTAATTCTATCTTTATTGCAAAAGTGGATCAATTAAAAAAAAACTATATGGCAAAGTCCCTCTCTTAAGACTTTGTCTCCAGTTCCTTAGCCAACAAGCCAACGTGGAGAAATAAGCCACGGACTTCTTTTACCTTCTGAGAGGAGATACACCAGCTCCACCAGCGCTGCTCCCAAGAAACAACTTAGTCCGTTGCACAGTGACGACACACTCACAGAGGTCCCGCCGATTCTTCTTGGAACAAATCGGCATGATAGTTCAGATACTGAGTGAAAAGAGATGAGAATTCAGGAGATTCTTCCTAAAATACTTTCATAGATATTGTCTAAATTAAAACTGTTGACCGTAGGATCATAATTGGGTTGGACTTTATAGAGGTTATTATAATATAATGAGTTACAATATTAAAATATACAGACACATCTAAAGAAGAACATATGGAAAAATCTACCTCTGTACAACTTTTAAAATAATTTTATTATGTGATTGGGTATCTTAATATAGATATTCAAATTTTTACGAGTTTCGTAACTGGAATGATTTCTGATGAATTTTGGCTTGAAGTGAGGCCTGTACTAGACAATATCATGAAATCTGTTAGGGAGATCTAGGGTACTGTCAGTCTCTTTGAATCTCTAGGTTGTTTATGGGAAACTTGAATTTATCCTAGAAAATTAGTGTAGTGTATGGGCTTGAGAGTTGAATAAGATTGTGCTGAAATGGTAGGCCAATTGTTTACTATCTAATTGTGACTTTAGATAATTTCTTATAATCTCTAAGCCTCAAAATTCTCCGATGTAAAATGGTAATTATCACTACTCACTTTGCAGAAGTGCGGGGAGGCTTACCTGCTGGTTGCACGGAAAGGGCTTAGCACAATCCTTGACTTCAAAGTTAGTTATTTTCTTTTTTTT